CTGCTGATGCTAACAGTAATTCTGGACGGGAATTAGGGTGCTTATAACCACATGCACTGACAGAGTCAGGCTTTTCCCTGCTATGCATACCTTTAGATTAGATGGCAAAGAAGGAAAAAAAAAATCAACACCGCTATAGGCACTATAAAGGCTAATTTCCCTCTTTGTTTTGCTTACAGCTTGTAAAACAGCAAATATGAGTTTTTTTGCCTCACTGAATATTCTCAGTTTACAATCTTCAACTGTCTGCATTTTTCAAGGTGTTCAGCTGTCTCTTTCTCTGCAAACCTCCCCTGACTTTGACTTGAGCCTTAACCAGATTGATCATTTGAAGAAAAAAGCTCTTGGAAGCAAAGCTTTTAGGAGAATAACCTCTCTGCACCATCTCCTTTACCCCTTTGGACAGGGGGTGGTTGATGAAGGACTTTGCCATGCTGAATCCTTATGAGTTCAGCACGTGCAAGATCAGGCTGAGCAGACAAAATCTCTACAGGGAGGAACAGAAGAGCCAGGGAAAGAAGTGGTGTGGGTAAAGGCATCTTGCAAAGAGTCATGGCAAAAAAGGGAGTAGTTGGCATCTTTTCAATTCTTTCAGAGTTTTCTTCTATTCTACATATAAAATTGAATCTTCTGATGGGTCTGATAGGTTTACCAGAGCCAAAGAAATTATTACTTCAGTGTTTGGCTCTCTCAAATCTAAAATACACAACTGTAAGTTACTAGATATCCAAACTCTGTTGGACTGGAAAACTTCTGATGAGCCTCTCCTTTTATTTGCCCTCTCTGTTTTCTTCTACAGCAGAGAAGATCTGATATTCCAAGCCCTCCACTATCTTATCTTAAATGACTGAATCATATTTATCCTTTGACCTGTCCTTTAAGCATTAAAACTGAAAGAGCTAGAATCCTTTGGAGGCAGAAATTTAGCTCAGTTTGCCAAACTAATCTGACAGTTTTAAGTGACTTCTCCCGACAGAAGCCAGAATGGAGAGTCTCACTGCTTTCATGGCCTCTAGGAAAAGGTGCCATTAGTTTCCTTCTGGAATGTGTGTGTGATGGGGGGGGGGGGGGGGGGCAACTAAACCACTTGGGCAAAAACTTCAGTACCTGAAGATGACCTTGGCTCAGTGTCTCATATCTACTGACCTGCGATGGGAATACTATAAAAGGACATTGAAAAAATTTAAGTCTGAGCCTGCTAAAGGGCCAGAAGGCTCATAGCACACAAATGCTATTCAATTAACATACAACAAAGAAGTAGTTCCCAAGTGAAACAAAGTGCTATAATGAAGTGCTAAAAAGGCAAGGAGTTCTAGAAAGAGGAAGAATGAGACTTCTGAAGGGGAAGATTGATGGCTCCTGAATAGAGCTGAGGGACAGCAACATCTCATGTTCCTTTGCTCCCAAACATCTGGCTTTGTGAAGATGCAAACTATGCAAGCTTTCCACAAGAGCACTGCTGTTTGTGATGCAAAATGCTCCGGGGTAAGGACTTGTCCAAGCAGGAGAGAAAGGGAAAGAAGGAAACAAAGCAAAGGCTGACAGAAAAGGCAGCAAACTGAGGTTCACATGATGCACATGTTTACATTTTAAGATACATCAGTTCAGAAAGATCTCAAAATTCTCAAAGAAAAAACAGTGGCCTTAAAATTAGGAAGGCCAAATGGCAAGAAGAGTCAAAGAAGGTCTAAATCATCTCCAAGCATGCTAACAATTAAGGGAAGCTCTGACTGAGGTTCCAGAGTCACCAAAAAATCCCCAAAACTAAAACAACCCACAACAAAGTATTGAGTGCTGCCAAAAAGGGCAGTCCCATCCTACAACATGTTCTTGGCACTTCCCTTCTGCTGGTACAGTGCATGTGTGGCCAGCTCGGTCCAATATCCAGTCTGGATGAAGAATAACCTGGCTGAAAGGAGAGAGAAAAAAAAAAAGTGCTGCTTTCCTGCACATTCACTTTCCTGACTGAACACCCAGTGTGGCTGCACAGGTGCCGGTGTAGGTACCAGACTGGGGAGAGGAACCCACACCTTGGTGGCAGCATTCACTCTGGCTAATTTAAATGGATCAGCGACCTATCCCCAGAGCAGAAAGGCCATGAGTGGGTGTGGGAAGTAGTCTGCAGTGAAGGGGCCACACTTTTCCACTCTGGTGACCAGTCAACAGTGTCTACGAAAACGCTACCCCTGGCAGTAAAGAGAGACTGGAACAGAAATCAGAAACGCTGCACAATGTTGGCTGCTCACAGGTGTGAGTACTTCAACTAAGCCAAATATATACCCAGGTCAGCTGAAGACCCCATCATTCTCTTAAACAGCACAGCATCTTTCATACCTTCTACTTGAACTATATCCAAGCTTGTAAACCTCAGTGACTACCACACCAGTAAAGAACATTAACAAATAGGAGCAGTCTTGGCCTGTAGATGTTAAAATACAGGCCACATTAACAAGTTTGCTGCTGGATTACTAGTCAAGAGAATATAAAGACCTTAATTTATTGATGCTGCTATTATTTTTCTCTGCTGGTAAGAAGTCCCTATGATATTTCTATTGCGGATCACCTCCAAGCAGGTCAATAAGCTGTTTTGACACGACATGAGTCCTGGTGCTCAAGGGTCAGGCAAGCCAAGGCTCATACCAGTGTGTGCTCAACTGCCGGCAACAGAGCAGCTACCTTTGGTTTTGATCCACCTGCTACAGACAGCCTATAAATATCTGATAGGTTTCAAAAGAAGCAATTGAAATCAATAAATCTGCATGGGAAGCACATTTTGGTGGTATGGATTAGAAAAAACTTTTTATTTTAAATGCTTGCTAATCCGTTCACCGCATTCCCTTCAAGTCTTCTGAGGTGGAGGCAGGGGATAGGTGGGTGACCAAATCAGCTTAATCGCTAACTATGCAGATAGTGAATTAATCATGCAAAAGCACTTGTATTTCTGTACGAATGTTCACTTTAAAGTTAACTGGGATGTTAAAATGGCTTAGATCAGCAGTCAAATTCCTAAACAGCGATTCTTTAATAAAAAGAAAATTAAAAAAAAAAAACACACGCACACACTGACCCAAAGAAAAATAAATGCATAATTTTCCATTTTAAGCACACACGAAATCACAAGAAAAGTTCTGACTTTCAAATATCAAAGAAATAAAGATGCTCAAGTTTTCATTCCTTCTGCTTCTACAACTAATTGCTTTATAGCAAGAGTGCTTCCTTTTCATGGCTTTGTTACAAACCCCTGGAACTAAAGAGCAACAGAATAATGACCTCAGCTGGGGTTAGTGAGGTGAACAGCAGCTCAAACTCCTGAACATTAAGTATATGTTTAAAAAAATAAAAAAGGGAAAGAAACACAAAGGGGGAAAAAAAAATCCCAAATCAGTTTTCAAGTATCCAGATATAATGAGCGATGACTTTGGGTTCCTTCTGACAAGAAAACACAAAATCAAGCGTTACCTCTCTGAGAATATTGCCAAGGCCCATGTGCCCTCTCCACCCCCAAATAGGAGGAAAATGGGAGTAACTGATGTCAAATAGCAAACTCATTTTCCCTTCTCTTCAAAGAAAAGTGAAGAAACGCTCACATTTAAAGCGGCCAGTGAAACAACATGGGGGAAAATAAAAAGTCTGAATTAACAGAAAATAAGCCTGATTAAGCACACTCAGTAATGAACAAGAAATGTGCAAACCACATACAGAATACAACACCAAAAAGACAAAGACCACGGTGGGCGTTCATGCAAGTCTTGGCCAAGGAGAAGGGGTCATCCTCAAAAAGCCAAGCTCTTGCATTAGCGGAGGCTGTACTTACTCTGTGCCTCGCAGTCCACGCAGTGAGAGTTGCCTCTGGTGTTTCTTATCGACTGAAGGGCCATGGCCTCGTTCTGACTTGTCAGTCGGGACTGTGTATATTGAAAGAAACACATATAAGAACCCAATGAAAAGGTCTAGACAACACAACCGTCGGCTGTATGAAAGGCAAAAAACAAAGCTCAGATCAAGGCTGAATGAATGTATTCAAGGAACCTGAAGATTTTGGTTGGCCTCTCAAGAAACAGTGCTCCTTTGGCATCTCCAAGAATGGCAATTTCAGGCTTGCCAGCCAGATACTCCTATCTCCTCCCACGTTTCTGACATCTCAAGATTTTTCCTAAAGCTCTCTTCATCCTGCACAGGAAAACCCAGCAGTTTGGAGACACTGGACTGGGCTCAAACAACTGGGGAGGCTGCGCAGAGGAAAGCCAAGCTTAAAAATGCATCTTGCTACTAAGGAAGGTAGTCACGGTGCAGGTTTATTTCTTGAGATAAATCAGATGCAAATACTATTTTATAAAATCAATTTCTTTTATTGATGTGTGTGCTTTCGCTAATGAAGACTAAGGGGTGGTTTGCAAAAGAAACTGAAAGCCTTTTATCATCAAAAGGTCAGACCGAATCAGACTGCTCCCATTTACATTCTCTCCATGAAGATCTGCCAATGACCTTTCCTTGGACCTGGAGAGACCGTCACTAGGTACAAGTAGTTACGCTCTACTCAACTAAACCACCTGGCAAGCTTTCGGAGAAGAAAATTGTTAGCTGTACTAAATTATGGACTCCTTACAATTAATTGGTTTAAGCAGGATGAGGACCAGGACTTAAGCACTGCAATGTGGAGATGCACACTCCCAATCAACAGGACACATAGTAACTGCTCTTATGCTATTCCCGTTAGTTCTTCTGCGTGCTTCCAGACGTCAGTAATATTCTTCAGAGGAAACTTCTCTGAGCGTTGTAGCAGGTTAAGTGTATAACCAAAAAAGCTCCTTGTACAAGTATAATCTTGTAAATGGAGTCTCCTTTTTAAAAGGATATTTAGCATATGCAAAGTCCAATCTTTTCTATAGCTACTGTGTAGTAAATATTACCAGGCACTCTTCATCCTCTGTATTAGTAATTTTTTGATAAAGTTTTAGGGTACAAATTTTCTCTGTCGCAGCACATTCTGATGTATATGTATAGTTCTTGGTTCTAACATATGCATATTAGAACATTTAATTCCATGAAAGTCAGGCACAAAAAAATAGGCAGTGATTCTTCCCCATTTCAGAACTATATATATATATATATTTTATATATATATATATATATATATGTATATATGTATATTTTTAAACAAAATGGGAAGTAAATTATATCATGATGATAAATACTGCTGTTTGAACTACTCTGGTAAAGATGTAATGGATGCAGGGATTCATTTCAAAAATTTCTACTTCTCCTTCTTAGCAATATAAAATGATTGAAGATATTTCTTAGGTGGATGGTGTTAAAGGACGTGCAGGTCTGAACAATTACTCCCCATTTCTCTCCCTCCCTTACTACTCGACGTTTTGCTCTCCAGTGGTAAAATGTCTGCAAATACAGAGTCTCCAGAATCAGTCATTTTCCTGCCCTTCCAGAAATGACCAATGGCTGAAGAAGCATCAGATTTTAGACATTTATTTTGATAGGAAAGGAGAATAAGTCACTTCTGCCACAATACGAAAGTATAGCAAAGAAGAGGGCCTGTTCCTCTTTGGCCATTTTCGCCTTTCCTCAAAAAAGATTTGATGAACCATTTCTTGATTAGCTTTCTGTTATATTAGTTAAAGCCCAAAACCATAAAGAATCAATTCAGCATAATTAAAGACAAGAAAAATTGCACATAGGTTTTGTACAACAGTAGACACTAAGGCAATAGCTTATTTTTGATTTCTGTGAGTTATATGACATCATCATAGGTAGAGCCATGAGGATGAACGTTTCTTATTAGGCCAACCAGAACGTTTAATTTTAATTTAACTTTGCCATGCAGGAGCTCAATAATTTTAAGCTAGAGATTTGACTAGTAAATAAGCTGGGTTTTGGGTCTGCCTCCATTCTCCCCCAAGACAGGCTTCCCTTCAGGACTCCGCTACAGACCTCTAACTCCAAGTAAGTAATTTACTCAATTGCTGTAAAACTGAATCGCAAAACAGGTTACAGTACCACTTTTCTTGAAATACCTGACACAGGTACGCAGCTGGTTAATCCTGCTCTGATCTGTGCGTAGCACACGCATGACTCTAGGAGTGCAGGTTTTTAAAACAGGGCTGATGATTTTGTTTTCCTTTTAGTGAGCAATGTCCTGTTACTTGAAAATAAGTACTCTGTGTACCCATACCTTGTTCTTGCTGCTCTCACACGACTGTAAACTGGCCAAGATCTGACTCTCTATGGCTTGTACCCACGCATCTCTTTCCTCATACGTGGTAGCTTCAAAGTGCCAAGTCTGGCCGGTGAGAGAGACAATGATAAACTCAAAGTTTTCTTCTTGTTCTGGAAAAAAACAATAGGAAGAAAATTTAACTTTAAGGGTATCAATAGCTAGGCCTAAACACGATCCTATCTGATGAGCATTTCTGCAACGTAACAAGCAAATACAGCTTTGGACATTTGAGGTTTGAGGCTAAATATGTCCAAAGACTCTGAAGGTGTATGATGCATCAGAAAACTTGTTAATCCACTGCTTTTCCCTCCAAAATGTTATTTCACATGGATAAAAGTATTGTTTTAGGTAAATATGGAAAATTCCAGGGTGTGCGTGTGTCCCTTTCCCTAACCATAACGTGGCTAACAAATGCTGTTTAGACCTAAGTCTGCGGTGGGCAAGAACTACATGCCATAAAAAACAAAGTGTGTCCCAAAATAGGAGATGAACGGAGTATAAAGAGCTGACACAACAGTTTGACAATCTACCCTGTTTCTCCAAGCATGTGTGTACATGCATTGATGTAACATGTTAAGACCAGATACGTACATTTTCTTTTCTACAGCATAAATATACCGGGTTATGATACAGGATTAACAACAGTTCAGCCTGTTCAACTTTCATGTTTGACATGGCAGATGAGCAAATGATCTGAGAAGCTAGCAGAAAGGGTCACTGAAATATCCTTGGGGCTACTAGAGCATAAGGACAAGTATTCAGGCCAGAGGACCGTAGTGTATGAAAACAGCAGCAAAACTGAACTAAACGGGTGCACGCTTTACCACCACACGGGACACCAAAGTCAAATTTAAAAAAAAAAAAAAAAAATCAAGGAAGCTGAAATAGAGAAAGTGGAATTAGGAAGGGCAGGCATGAAGCATGAAAGGAAGAGAATAATAGAGCACAAAGTTCTGGTGAACATCAGCCATAATGGGCTTTAGAAAGGGCATTTACATTCACTCGTCTACTAATGACTTATTATACATTCAGAGCCACGAAACTCCTGCATTACCCTGTCATCCATAAGCATGCAAAGATAAGTGACAAATCTAGCCCTTGCTTTAAAGGCAGGAGTGCTGCTCACTGGAAGTCATTTGCTCAACCGATGGGGCAACCGGTTTTCTTGAACACACTCCATGCTAGAAAGGCCAACGCTTACACTGGTGTAAATCTCTGAAGTCACACTGAGGCCTGTGGAGGTCAGCTTGCTAAGAGGAGCAGGTAATTAGACTGTGCTTTAACGAACTTTCAAAAGATGGGAGGAGGTTATCTTGCACCTTGAGCTGAGAATAAAGCTGGAGGTGAAGGTTATTTCAAGGTGAATGAGGACACCTTAAGCTGCAGTTTTACTGAAAAAGAAGTGTGTGGGTAAGTGGGGAAAGAAAAAGAAGAGAAACAGTGCAATTGTACAATTTTATAACTGTGTTACTGCTTTTATGTTACAGCAATATAGTGTTAAACAAATCAGGTAGAGTCATTATGCAAAATGCTATGGTTAAGTCATGGAAAAAGCCACAATTACCAAACGGAGCTTCATGGGTTTAGGGAAAAGATGCAAGAGTGACTAAAATAGAGCATTAACAATAAAGGAAATTGCTTTCAGCCCTGCACGCTGCCCTCTCTAGGAAAACGCAGTTTTCTTGAAGAAAAGCTGAAGCACCTCCAGAAAGCCTCGTTGGAGGAAGAGGGCCCTGACAAAGAAGAGGGAACACTGGCAAAATAAGAGAACAAGAAAAACTAAATCCGCTTGTAGCAGCCTCCCGTAGAGTGGCGCCAATTTAGGAAATTCATCATTCTTAGCCTTTTTAATGGCTTCTAAGTGATACATCTTTGCACTTTTGAAGTCTTGCTCAAGGAGGATTTTCCAAATGCCCAGTCACTAAGTCCACTGGTTCAAAAAAACCTGCTATATGATTTGACTGCAAATGCTTCCATCCATCCAAACAAGGTTCCCCTCCTTCTGTGCAGGCATGCAGGTTAGAAGCGAGCACACAGAGGAACGCAAAGTTTTTTGGTAAATGCATACCAGAAGGAAGAACTCCGTAAGCAGGAACAGTAAATAAAACATAAATGCTAAGATTTGCACGGTAATTACTCACTGCCAGTGCTACTGAGACATACGTATTAGTACGGGCGAGGGAGCAGTGATGCTATGACATGCAGTAACAAAGGCCCTTTTTATTTTCATTCCGTCTCCTACATGTCACGTCCTTCTCTCTCCTTTCTCTGAGCATCTTGCCTTTCTCCATTCACAGCTCTGTGCTGGACAGCTGTGCGTCTTGGCCGTACTTCTCTCCGCTAGCCCACTGACCGTACGCTGTACTAGTTCCATGCAAGCCCAAAGCATGGTGCAGAGCTGACGGAGCCAACGCAGCATTCGGGGGCTGCCTATTACAGAAAGGAGAACGGATGAACCTAAATACACCCCGAGTGAGGAGTGTATAGCATTTCGGTCGTGCTAGGTGACTTAGTATGGCAGTAGCATATAAAATCAAGAGACGACATACCTGAATTCTCCTGTCTTCTATCTGCCAACAACCCTGATCACGTACATGAAACTGGCTTCTCTTGGCCAAGAAGGGGATAGGACTTGGCCATCAGAAATAAATTCTGCAGTCCAACCTGTTTTATACGGCATTATTTGGCATTCAACCCTTTAAAAGCAAGCTTGAAATATCATGCTCACAACAACATCTCTGCAAGTATCCCCCCCTCCTCCAAAACGCTACATTAATGCTATTCTTCTGCTTACACAAGGTCTACTGCACAAGACACACAACCAGCTAGTAAGGCTAGAGTGTGATCCAAGAAACACCTTCAGCCATTCCCATGGTCCTTCTTTTATTCCTTTTCCCAAAGGAAAGGCTCTCTGGTTTAACCTCCTGACCTTTTTTGCTGTGACCAGATGACACTGTGACAAGCTGCCACCTTGGCTGCTGCTGTCCTGGGAAGCTCCCCAACATGCCTCTGCTTAAGTGCGATAGCTGTAGGCTGGGAAAGATGCTCATCCTTCGGGGTTTAAGGGACGGAAAATCCACATTACAGGTTGATGAATATGTCCCAATATGTTCTGCCCTCCTGTGGGTTATAGAAGAGTCTTAAAGCCTGGCCTGGAAGGGCGTTTTTAATGCCATCAGTAATCTGGCTGAGAACTTGGCCAGTGCTGATGACACACTAAAAACGCAGCAGGTGAGAAGCAAGTGCACTAGTTGAAGACTTCAGTAATACGTTTTCTGCTTAAACACGATGAAAAAATATTTTGCAAGCACAGTTTGGAAACAGCACAGCAGAGCCTACTCTACACCACCCACAAAGCGAGCCCAACAAAGACAATAATACCTGTGGTGTGGCTGGCTAAAGTGCAAATCCTTAAGCCCTGCATCCACAAACAGAAAAACCCAGGCAGCAGGACAAAACTGTTCCTTTTTTCACTCTCCAGTAAAATTATAGGTTGCGCTGTTTAAATCCCTACGAGCCCAATCACAAAATTTTATGAAACAGTTTTCCATGTTTAACAGTTGTTCACAGAAAGGTCCACTATAATAGTATTTTAGCCCCATCAACCTGTCGAAATCAACCTGCCCAATTACTCCAAACTACATTAATAACACCGGATATTACACTAATTGTGTCCAGTTTCTATGCAGACGAGGCCCCAGGAGGCTAATTTTGCCTCCTCGAGGGCAAGCAACTCAGCCATCAAACTGGGAATCCCTCCTCATTACACAAGTCCGGGCTGTCAAACTTTTTTTTTTTTTTTTTGGGTAAAAGGTTAATGGACCAATCAGTCATCAATTATTTCCTGGACGTGTAGCAGACAAAGGGTTAAAGTGCTAACAAACAGCTGCAACTGATTTACATTTGGAAGTTATTATCAACAGGAGATGCCTAAAAAATTTTGTTGTTTGTTTAGTTTTTTTTTTTTTTTTAAAGTGGGAAGGGGTGGCTAAGATGGGAAAAGAGCTGAAATTGTAAGGTGATGATGTGACGCAACCCAAAACAAAAGTGATTTCTTTTTCCCCCCTCTCCCCAGCGGACCAGTGGAAGTGGACATGCAAGCCATGAGTTGCAGGAAAACTGCAGCGCTTTGCATATAATAGCACGTGAATCGTCACCGCCACCATTTCCAAGAGGCTACGCGGTACCACTGCTTACGCCGCACGTATTTTTTCCGCCGTTGCCTTTTCTTAGTGTTTCCACTTCCTGCTTCTTTTAGTCTTAGTATCAAGAACTGCATGAACAGCCCCGGACACCTTCCAGCGACAGCGGGTGACTTCTGGCATAGTTTGAGGCCATGGAAGATGAGGGCATCTTTCCATCCGCCACTCTCCAGGCATAAACCGTGCCCGCCCCAAAAGCTTGCATTTAAACAGAAAAACTACCGCGTAGGTGTACGGCAAAGACGTGCTGGGATTAAGACATTTCTTGCAGGCCTACGTGAACGTTTGGACAGAACCACAAATAAAACTGGATCATCTTACTTTCCGAGGCAGTGCTTTATACCCAGCTGCTTCCGCGAGGTGCCCGACTGTGCGCTAGCTGCTTTGCACAGTGCAGTCGCCGCTAGCTGGGTTGCACGATGGAGCGGGCCAGCACCTTGGGTACGAGCAGTCGCTCACTGCGCACGTCTGGTGGACTATGCCGCTAACACAGGGTGTATTTTCCAGAGACCGCAAGTCAAGTGCAGATCCAAAAGCCTCGGTGACATATTTCAGAGGGCCATAAAGCATCTTCAGGAGTTGAGGTTACAGCTTGAAACCTATTCAAGCATGCCTGAAGTAACACTGAGACCTATTTAAACTCCCTCTTTATCACACCCTTCATACCTCAAAAAAAAAAAAAAATCGCTTCTGCTCAAGCACCCTTCTTTAATAACCCTTCATCTTTTCAAAAGGATGATAATGAAAAGCTGCTGAGGTGCCTTAGCAATAAACATTAGATGTTTACAATCTGCAATTTGTTTACAACAAAGATGCGTGTTATTCATGTACCGTACAACGTTAACTATCATTACCTTTTGCCACTTGGCGTAAATTATCCCTGTAACTTGGAAGATAAGTATGTTTATTAGCCGCCTCAATTAAGGAAATATTTGTGCCATGTCCCACTGGGCATGACTATGCTAATACTTCTCTCCCCTTTCCAAACCCAGTGTCTAAATCTAATTAGTTTTGAAAATCAACCCTATCAGGACGACATCGCTCTGCTATCAGTTGCCCACAGCTCTCGACGAAGGTTGCGTTCCACTGGAAGACGTTTTCGGTAGCGCTGCTTTAAATCACTACCCGTGAATGACAAACCGCAGATGAAAGGCTTGTTTCCAGCTCAGGGGACTCGGCTCCCCCCCCCACACGTACTTGTTGTTTTATTTGGATGCCAAGACAACGGTGCTGGGAAGAAACCCACAAAGTCGTTTTTAAATTCGGTTCGTACAGTACGTTAAGTCTAGACGTGCGTTAGACTTGTTGTTAGACCTTTAAAAACATGACCTATGTTTCGAGCCTACCGTTTGCTATTAAAATTCCTGGTGTTTCAAAGCTGAAGAGCTTTAACGGAGAGGTACCAGGAGATGCTGTCTGTAGCCTATGCGGGCCAGTCGACGGGCAGAACGTACCTCTGGCACACAGAACAGCCTCCCCTCGGTCTGCTCTGGTTAGCTACCGCTAACCTTCGGCATAGGCATAGCCTCAGGATGGCAAAGGCATCGCTACCTTTCAGACAACAGGTAGTCCTGGAGGCTGTGGATACGCAGAAGAGAAGTCCTCCAGGAGAGCTGTGTGCAACTCTGCTGTCAGACATGCGTCCACAAAGAGCGGGAAAAATGAGGATTTAAGCTCTTTATGAGCATTTAACCGCAGCATCCAGAGCAGTCGGTTAATTTTAGAAAGATGCTTCCCCAGACCGTGCTGCAACTTCTGCTGGCACAGGAATAATCCTGTATTTTAACCAACCTGCTATGACAGCAGGCTCAAGCACCTCCACAAGAGTGAACTGAGCAGAGTCTGTTTTAAGTGTAACAAGCTGATATGACATACTTTTCCCCTAGAGAACCAAAAGGTTGCTTGAACCCTCGCTGCCTGCAAGAAGAAGCAGGTGGGAGTTTTTCATTTGCTGTCATACAGCTAAGAGAGAGGAGATCTCTCCTGGATTTGGAGAGGACTCGCCACTTTGCGCAGCCTATAGGTAGCCCTGCGCAAGCAGCAGTGCAAGCGAGGAGATCCCCAAAGGGAGGCCCATGCAGAAATCCCCTTGCGAGAAGTATCTAACAAGCACAGCGACTGCTTTCTCCGTCTCAAGGAGAGATTTTGCTAGCTGAAAAGATGCAGAAGACCTAAATAAAAAAAAGAAGAGACTGTACCCGATAGGAGTATTTTTGTTCTGTCGGAAAGGTATAAATGCAATTAAGCAAGCATGTGCTAAAGACCAAAGCAGATTTGTTATTCTGCACTGTCATTTCCTATCACCATTCCCGTTTTTGAAGGCATAATTATCTAAACATGTGGCTTTTAGTACTTACTCTGCTCGTTAACTCTACATTTGCCCATCTCACAATTCCGGCTCTCATACAAAGGCTTAATGTACAGCCTCAAGGATGCAAAATTACGGAGGACGCTGGACCTTCGGTAGGGCTAATACTTCCAAGACAGACACATTTTTATGCAATTTAGGTACAGAACTTCATCCCCGTGACATCTCTCAAAACTCTTCAAGCACGGCTGTCAGGGACATGTTCCCATACGAATCAAGGTGCATGCATTCATCCCACTTGCCTTTGATACTTAGTTTGATCAATATGGTAAAACACTCCTCAAACTACACATACCGTAAAAACAGGAGCTTTACGGTTAAAAAAAAAAAAGTAATTCTTTATGCTTGTTTCACTATTGAAATTTTACTGACAAGTAGATACAAAACCACAGGGTTCTCAAAGAGTAAATCTGTACCAAATATACCCAATGCATCTGATGGGAAGAAAAAAGTCTGGCTAGGAGATCGAAAACAGCAAACACATACAGAATGGCAAATTATTAAAAAGTATCTAGTTAGTATCTACTTAGTTTCCTTTTAAATGGGGGAAAAAAGGAGCAAACTTATTCCAACAGTATTTTCTCTCTCGTTTCATATTCTGCACTCAGTGCTCAATGAGAAAAGGATCAAAACAGAGTTTTGCTACTCTTGCTCTAAAAGGTAACAATTTTACACATTCACAATGAGAAAAAGAACAAAATTATAATTAAAAAAAGCTTCCTTAACAAGCTGCAGTAAAATTGCACTTTTGTTTCCCCGATGCACTTTATTTGGCAGCGAGAGCAAGGCATCCGACAGCAGTACAGCAGTAATTGTGCAAAAAAAAGGATGGTGATATAAATCACCAAAGGTTAATGATCAGGATGTGAACATAGGGACTTGTTTACAGAAATAGCATGCAATTTAAAATTTACAGGAGATTTAATGCCACTGCTTGGCAATCACTAAAATCAACAGCCCAGAAAACAGTGACATTAAGAAAAATATTACAGTTATAATCATTCCAAAATAAGTCAATTAGTGTTAGGGCATGCGCTTGTGATTACTTGACCCATTTGGTTTGCACTTATGTGAAAAAAAAATTCCCCCCCCCATTACACTGAGATTACTGAGTTGTGACCTATTTTGCATTCCATATTTCGCACGCTCTCCCCTCTTCTGACTTGCGGAGATTTTTTTTTTTCCCCCTCCTTGCCTGGCTTCCAAGTAATTCTGACCTTCGACATTTGTAATAAGAAAAAAAAAAAAAAAGAAAAAGAAAAAAAGAGGAAGTTTATAATTGTGTTGTTCAAACGAAGGTGGAGGAAGGAAAAAAAAGAAGGAAAAAAAATTCAATCTCACCAGGTGACCTTTAGAAATACAACAATATACAGAATTTACAAGCAAGAGTAGCACATGCAAATGACCCGGCACTGTCTCGCCTTTGGATTAGAGCCGCAAAGAGCATTATGGAGAACGCTTCCACAAAACAAATTAAGACTGTTACTTAAATGTCACGGCACACACTATTGTATTTGGCTACAGATCATTACACCTGATACCAACACTTTTAAAAACTGTAATAACTTGGGACATATTACATTGAGTGCCCACATGTATAAAGGGAATATAAAATAAAACAAAAAAATAAATAAATAAATAGAAGAAAATGGGTTCCTGAAGTAATTTAAACATCACCACCGCACGACTGGAGGGAAAGGTCAAAATTTAAGTAAGCTGAAAGGAACACGAATGGCAAAATAAAATGCACAAACAACAACAACAACAAAATGAAAAGACCACGGGAGTGACTCTGCAAACACAAGACGAAAGCACGCATGCTTTGGGCAAATTTGATTTTCATTCCTGCATCTGGTAAGGGAGAGCCACAATGAGGACAATTTTCGGAGAAGTAGGTGGAAAGAAAAAAAAAAATCAGGGGTAGAGAGGAGGTGGTCAGCTAAAACGTGTTGTTTTGTTACCTTCGGTGTTGGTGCTGCTGCTGCTGTATATATTTCGCAGGCTACCAACACGGTTTAGTTTCCACGCTTTGCGTTTGGCTGCGTCCAGAGAGCAGAAGGGGAAGAGAAAAAAAAGAGAACAGAATAAAAATAAAGAAAAAGAAAAAAAAAGAAAAGGGGGGGGGAAAGAAACGTCAAAATAGCATGAGAAGTAAAATACGAGCACAAGCCTGTTATACGTGACAAGCTACGCACAGAAAATGCACACGGAGCCTCCCACATCCACAGACTGCACGGACAACCTCTTTTTCATCCAAAACTGTATTTAAGGCTCTAAAATGCGACGAGATTTGACAAGATTAAATGGATCGGCTATTGGAATAGACAAAACCAGACCAGGGGAACTAAAAAAAGCACAAAGTATTTGTATAGAGGGCACAAAATGAGATACAAAACAACTACTGTAAAATGCTGCTTAATTAATGATAAAAGCTGGACAGAGAAGAGTTCCCTTTGCTCTAAAGCACTGTATTTCCCCACTGGATGCCTGTACTTGTATCAACTTTAGCAGTTTAGGTGATGATGTAACGGGCTTAAATCATCAGAACAATAACAAACATCATTTGTAGCACTGAGCTTAGAGGCGTTACTTCACTATTTTGGAGAGCGCCAAGGAGGCATTAATGCTATGCAAACGGTCATTCCCCCCCCCTCCCCCCCGGCAAATCACTGCAAACTAAATGCTTATTTGGAAAACAAAAGCACATATTCTTTATGTAACAAACATCACCATTGCTTTACTAGAATTGCAGCAAACTTTCAAGTCCTCTGAGTTGCTGTGCTCCAATTAGCAGAAAATATCGTACAAAAGCACTCAAATGCTGCGCTCGTTACGCGAGACCAAGTCCTTCCGGTCTTTAAAATCTACATGTTTTGCCTCAAAAGTGCATTCGCAGCACGAGAAGTACAACTCAGCCAACAATACGTTAAGCCCAAGTTTCATCGGACAGGAACGGTATTTTCCTTTCGCGAAACGTCCACGTCGGTGCACCACGATACTGCTGGCACCCAACAGCGACTCGCACCAAAATAGCAGCAAAGTCCCCTTTTATTCACCCGCGGCCATCCCTGCTTGCCCCCGTCTGGGCAGGGGACCACACATCTGCCAGGGCTCACCTCTCTGCAGGCTTTATGGCTGTCACATCGTCCTACCCTGGCAAGTAATAACGATGCCACACTGGCTGGCACGTAACTCTTTGGTAAAAAGGGATTTTTAAAACAAATTTTATTTCTAGAAATAAGGGCAGTAGAAATTGGAGCAGTAATAATTATGAGTCGTTTCTGGAACACTTCAAAGCGAAGGCTCCCCGCTTTGATTCAGCGCCGAGTCTATTAGCAAGAAACGCAGGGCAAGTGCGGGGGAAAACGGTTTTTCCCGCTGCAGCGTCGAGGCCCCTCGTCCTTCAGGACGGCACGAACATCACGCGACACAGTGCGAAAACATTTTTTTTTTTTTTTAATTTTCTTTCTAAATCTCTGAGGGAACTTTTTTTTTAACATCCTCCGAAAACTCGGCTCAAACGGCTGTTTCCACAGAAAAGGGTCAGCGACGTGAAGTCGTTCAGATGTTTAATGAAAACCTCAGTTTCTCAGCTCAAGGTTTAAGCCTGGAAAAACCACTTGTCTACTACCCGTGGGTACCGGCCACAAAACAGCATGGAGCTTGTGGTTTCAGTAGGTGATGTGCTCCTGCACCAAATTTGGTTTTAACGCTGAACTCTTCTTTTGCCCCGTCTGCAAAAGGCTGCCTGTTTAACGTCGTCCTCGTGTACACGGAGAAAGGACTTCAAACCACACAGACAGCAACGCCGCTGTAAAAGAGTTATTAAACTGAAGTTGCAGAGGAATAGCTAAACACCCTATGATGTTTAGCTATATATTGTTTTAATAAAGTGTTCGGTGGTCTGCAATGCTTTATACTCAAAGGAAAAAACGGAGACCTGGAGATCTCAGCGAAGTCCTTACTTCAGAATATACCTTACTGAAATTAAAATATATAACGTTACCTAAATTAGATCCATCTAAAAGTTAAAAAGTCCGTCAAAGTTAAAAATGTCTTCATTGCGCACATCCTCCGATACGCGAAACCTTCAGTTTTAAGAAACGTTTAACAAGTCCCAGCAGGTAGCAACAACTAGAGAGGCTCAATTTCCCAGCTGAAAACTTGCTTTTCCTGACAAAAATTTACATATAAATAGGCAAAATCGAGGCTTGACACCCCTCAGAAAAGGGAGACCGTCTCGAGTATATAAAGACCCTTTCCCAGTCTGCTTTCATTTTTCATACCTTAATCGCGCGTTGGGAGTACGGATGTATAAGCGGGAAGAGAACTTGTCTCCTGGTTTTCTATTAACCTATTGATGAAATAATCCATTCTAATGTGTTAAGTGTCGTGCCTTTTCCTTCTTTTCAAACAAATGGACTTTTTCGCAGCAATGCCGAGGTCCTGATACATCCTAGCGTGTCTTTGAGCATCGATTAGACTCCAGCCTGCTTCCTTGTGGCGCTCCGCTATCTTGGAGAATACAATATTATTATCGTCATTGGGCTTTGGACAGTGCCAACTGCAGCCTCCAGCAGGGTGACTGATGGCCGCACGAACACCAGGGCCCAGCTTAGCCATCCTACCCTGACTGCCTTCAAAATTACATACCGACTACAAATTTTTGCTACCTACAAACAAGGCCTTAACAGGCACCGGAGGTCATTATTTGCCTGATTTGTCATTGACTTATATCCCAGAATACTCAGCCCACCCAGCCCGGGTTCACTCGCTGGTTCAAAAGCTAGTTTAACATAAGCTCTTGTTGCCAACTGTGGATGTATAAATAAAAAAAAAAAACCTGACTGAAAGGCTTCCAATAAAAAGCTGGGAGAAATACTTATTTTACTATATAACAGGAACAACGAGAGGAAAAGAGAGAGAACCTGAAAGAGACACAGAGAAAACTCAAACACCTCCCTCGAACTTCAAGTATCTGTACTAAAGTTTAACTCATTTAATTTAGCTTGTCCTGAAATGGCAACCAATACTCTGCCCAGTGTGCTGTATTACCACAATCTGAATGACTTACGTATTTTAACAGCATTTCAAGAGTATCTTTTATTAAGAGCGACACTTGCCCTCAGCTCCGGCTTCACTGCCGGTGGAAAAACACCACCCTACAGAAATCAAAGCAGTTCCCCCACACCGACCAGAACGTCGGCATGGAGGAGAAGCGCCGTTTTTGATCGTATCCAAGCTCATTAACTCCTGGAATTTCAATTGCCAAGATTAAACTCCTACCTTCACTGGGCAAATTAATTTGCGCTTTCTACCTCTCAGTCCAGACTAGTACAATAAGTCGCTCTCTGTCACCCGGTGATAGGGAGCTATGGTCTTCACAGTCCTGCAAAACAATGCCGTAATTGTTATCGCGTTTCACTTCAGCACAAACCAGCGTCCGGCAATTCCTCCCAATAGTTACCACAGGAAGAAAGCACAAAGCAACAGACCATGAAAGCTTTGACTCTCTGAGGCTGAGATGTGGTTTTTAAGCTGAAGCTTTACAATGATTTCTTGAGCGCTTGCAAGGAAGCTACTTTCAATTGTATCATCTGTGATCTGATGCATCGCTTGTGTGGCGCATACTTACTTGGATATCTAGTTCAAATATACCATTTGAGGAACCGGAATCTACCAGATTGATTTGTTAGGAGGAAGGAACGATGTGCTGCTATATAACTGCATTAAGAGCTACAATGGCCCATACCGATATTTATTTTTTATAGCCGGAACTGCTGCTCAGGTAGGACAGAGGTCACAGCAGTTGTTGAATTACGCCACAGAAGTATTTAACCAGCTATTTGAAAATCTCCATATACCGCAGAAGAACCACACGCCATCTACACGCAAGTATCAGCTCAGCCCTCAAAAGTCACACACAAGCCTGGTGAGATAATTTTCACTCTTGTTGTTTCCTTCTGCCACTGAAACTTCAATGGCAGTGCTTGGTCATGCTACCGCACATTCTTTGTAGATAAAGTAAATCCTGGGTTTGCTTGACGGACATGCAGTTCCTTCCTTATTTGATCAAACTGCTTGTATTCCTTTCTATATTGTCCTAAATCTCATCCTAATTTTTTATGGTCAAACAGTGTGAAAAACTGCAAAGTTGCATTGTGGTAAAACACTCTGCATTTCCTCAGGGAGACATACCAGCAATTGCTGCATCCAGGAAGGATGGCTGTATGAGCCTGTTTCCCCAGCAATAATCACAAGGTGATTATTGTGGGGATAAAGCACAATCTCTCCCGTTTTTCTCCTTCATCCTTTTTACTCATCATTTCTTCATGATGTTCTTGCAATTTTTTTTAAAGCATTTTAAGGCCAGCTTTGTATTTCAAAGCATATTTGAAATGCAGGAGCTCAGACTTTTAGAAGGTACCTTGCAATCTCTCTATCTAAATACTTAAAAAAGCATGGCTCAGGTGAATTGCGTAAGATAAAAACACTTTTCCGCTGTTCATTCATTTCTCAGCTAGGACTATTTGTAGCTGGAAAATGAATAAAGATTTCCCAGGCACTGTCCATAACCTGCCCTGCATTTCGCCTCCAGAGCTCATAGCTTGCAGAAGCCGCAGCCGGGACAAAGATTTCTTCATCTAGCAGGGTGTCGAGCTTGCACTGAACTAAGACCCAGGAGATCAACAATTCTAGGCTCAACACTTGCTTGAGCCACTTTGTAAAATGTCCCTTTCCATGGTTGCTATTAGTAAATGCAGTTTCTTTGCTTGCGTACTCCTTGTGTACAGCTGAAAACTGAGCACAGCCCTGCAAAGCAGTACGCTGAAACTCTCAACGCATCACATTCCCCAATTTTTAGATAGAGGTGCTTTCTATAACGTAGGGCTATTATATCAGTGATCTGCTATTTTAGCAAGGGTTGTGCTACTTATGTCAGCTGCCAAGTTTTGTTCAGCTCTGCACTTAACTTTATGTGAAAGTCATTTCAAAACGTTTGCACGTAATCTTCATTCTAGCCTTAAAAATGCCATGC